CCCCCCGCCCTTTTTTTTTAACTATTTGTAGAGGTTGGCCGGAATTCTCAGGAAATTGTGTTGGTTTAATGTGTTCCGCTCCCTCCCTCTTGCCCTCAGCTTGCTCTTGCTGTTTCTCTTGCCCTCCCTATGCTCGTTCTCACTCTTTCTCTCAACCCCCTTCTGCTCACTCGCTCTTTCTCCTCCTTGTTCCTTCCTCTCCGTCTCTTCCTTCTGTTGATGGTGGTGGTTATTTTTCCTTCATTCACTCTTTTGGCTTGATCCAGTTGTGTTCTTGTCAGTGTCAATGGTGGTGGTTCGAGTTTTCCTTCAGTGATGTATTCAACTTGCTCCTAGGTTACACACTTGTCTGATCTGGGCTCGGTCCATCCATCTGGCGCTGGCAGCGCTGGGCCTCCCATTTTCCAGAAAGCCAGGGAAGCCGTTCAAGACCCATGGAGTCCTGGTGATCCCCGGAATCCTCAGTACAACTTGAATGTGCATGGGATGTAGAGCCTGACCTGGCGATTGGGCGGCAGATCAGTGCAAATCAGCTTACTGAAAAGGACTGATGGATGGAAAACAACAAAGAGTAAGACTTGGACTGATGGTTAACCCACCGATAGGAAATGGACTGGCGACAGTCTATCATTTGGCCTGGTCTAAGTGGTGGCCTGCTCCGTGTTGCCGTCTGGCTGGAGCAGGACTGCCCCTCTGGTTAGACGAGGACTCTCAGCAGTCAATTAACATTGTCAATTATCTTTTGGTCAACCAGTTGACATTCTGTCCAACTTTGATCTGGCCTGCACGGTATTCTCCGGCTGAGCGCCTAACTTCAGACACGGAGATACCAGACCTTCAGGACTTTGCTGATGTTAAACCGACAACCGACTAGGACTGGGCATGGATTCTGGGTTCGGTCTGTGGGTTCAACCAAGGTGCCCAAGAGGCAGGGACTCAGGGAAGATGTTCAGAGGGAGATGCAACGAATGACTCTGGCTGTCAGTTGTAAGAGGGCTTTGACAGATGACTCCGGCACCAACCTCCCGTGATCAATGCGAGAGGATTCCTCATGGGAAGGAGGGAGGAAGGGAGCCAATGTTCTCAGGTTGAGCATTTGCCACTGGCTCCTTCACAGCTGTGATGCTGTTATTTGTGCTCTTCCCCATTTCCTAGTTAGTGAATTGAGCTCAGAAGTCAGTCTGTCACTTGTTGAAGTTTTGTGTGTCGTTGGCCATGAACCCTAAACCGTGAAGGCAGGGCCATATGTGTGTGTCCAGTGGTCAGAATTCAAACCCTACCCTTGTGTTGATTCTGACCGTTTCACAAATGTAATGTGTGGACACTGTTTAGGTGGTTTGAGTGACAAATGCTAGGGCGGATTGCAAACCTAATTGCTATTCTTTCAGGTTATCACGATTGGATGTGGCGAGCTTCCTCGTTCTTGGGCTGTGAGGTCTAACAGATTGTTTTTATGCCCAACTGATTGATGCTTCATGCTGGTGAGGATGTCAGAGGTTTTGCAGTAGCTGCGGGAGCCGGATGTTTTCTTCATGTGCAGGGTTTTCTCTGAAATGCAGTGGAGATGGCTGCCGCATGTCGTCTTACCCTCGTCTGGTATGCTGTTTTTCTTCTTGTTCTTAGAAACTCAATCCTGTTCTTGCTTTTATCTCCCCCCCAACTAATGCTTACGGGACGCGGGCTGCGTACGTGGAGGCCGCTGGGGGGTGCCGACCGTACGATGTGTGATCTGCGGCTGTCGTCTTGCGTCCAACTTTCCACAATCTAAATGTCAGCATGTATGTGATTTGCCGCGATCCCGGCCAGCCCTCAGATGAAAGATTGTGAGACGTCCAATGTGAAATCTGACGCGCCTGTTGTGGCGCGGAAATGTGTTTGGGAAAAAAAAAAAAAAAAGCGAGTGGCTCATTTTCCATGCATTTGGTCAGATACGGGGCAGGGTGTATGCGTGGTGTTATGTAGTGGAACGATGCCCTTTCTCGAGTCAGGAAATCCGTGCTGTTGAAGCTTCGAAAAAGAAAAAGGAAACTCTGAAGGGACGCAAAGGTCTGTGTTTTGATCGATGTGCTTGGGTCTGTTTCTGGGCTAGGTTGATTTGTTCTTTTTTACTTTAGGGTGTGGGGTCTCTTTCCGGCTGCGAGCAGTGTGCATGGATTTAGCCGCTTTCTGTGGCCGGGATATGTCAGGGAGAAAAAAAAAAAAAAAAAAAAGGAAAAAAGAAGTCAGGCCTACCCACCTACGGGACCTGCCTGCTCACCTACGCAACCTGCTTGCTCAGCTACACAACCTGCCTGCACTATTGGACGTATCTGCCCTAGGCCCCCTACGTGCACAATTGGATGAGCCTGCCTTGCGCGACCTACCCTACATGGTCTACGCTGCGCGACCGACCTGCACTGCGGACCAGGGTTGTCGAGCCCCGGCCCCGGGGCCTTGGCGGGAGTCCGGGGGTCCGGGGGTGGACACCTCGAACTCTGGCTCCAGAGCCCCGATAAATAAAAGAAAACAAAAAGTAAAACAAAAAAAAACTGGGGAGTGCACATTGAGAGCCTGCCGCCCCTGGCCAAAAATCAAGATTACGTTTTAGGCGTTTTCATAAACCCAAGATTTACGTTTTGGGCGAGTGCATTTTCATAAACCCAAGATTTACGTCTTGGGCGAGCAACACAGGCTTGTTTCCCTTTCTGTTCCCAACCCTTGTGTTTGGTGATGCTCAAAGAAACGCAAATACAAGATCAAATTCACTTTTATGGGAAGGCTGAGCATTAGGGTTGCATGCCTGCCGACCGCCGACCGTATTGCAGCCGATCAGTAGGGCGGACCGGTCGGTGGTCTGCCAACCAGTCAGAAAACAACCATCCCCTGATTTTTTCAAATCTGAGTTGAGGGCTGTACTGCAATTGCTGAGTACAGCCCAAATACTCTGCGAAACTTTTGGGGATTGGGGGGTTTGTGGGGGGGTTGGGGTTGGAGTATAGGGGTGGTATATGGGGTATTTGGGGGGGTAATGAGGGTGTTGGGGGCGGTTCGGGGGTGTTGGGGGGGTGTATGTGGGTGTTAGTGGTGTTATTAGAGGTTCTGGACCCCTTTTTGTTTTCTTTTTTCTTTTGCGGGGTGCGGACAACCCCCGACCGGTAGGTGCTGACCAGTCAAGGACCACCGACCGTTGGGGTGTGCAACACTGGTGCAGGTGTTACTTGGGATTTGTGACTGGTATCTGTACTGGATATGAGTGAAAAATTGCACGTCCAGTATTGATCGCAGATCACCCGGTATGGGTATGCTGGAGGATATATCAGTGGCAGAAAAAAAGAAACATGAAGAAAGAGTTTGTAGATTTGAGAGACATATTTGGCCTTGAGAGGATTGATTTCGCATTTCATTTTGACTGATTGCAGTTGGCACTCGTTTCTTTTGTTGCTTTGTTGCGCACCTTAAACATTGATCGATCCCAGGACCCCGCAGTTATCATGCTTGTGACATGTGGCGATTTTTTATTGCTCGGAAGACAGGTACATGACCACTGCCTGTTCTGAGGTTACAAGAGCAACTGGGGCAACAGGTTAGAGTTGTCTTGCGTGTGTTCTTACTATTTTCTTACGAGTTGTTGCTGCTTTGCATTTGTGGTAATCTACGGTTGATATATCTCTATAGAAAGCAAAGGAGGATGAATGCTGCTGTAATGCAGTTGTAATTTGGTACGATGATTCTTGTGCATCTCACGACGGAACCTAAAGCAACAATTCCAGACTTGATTCGCAATGGAGATGGAATAGGAAAAGAGCCTATGTTACCGGATTGGACGTTCGGGACCCCCCTGACCCTCCGGGACTTACCGATCGGACAACCGGTCGGCCGTCCGCCGGGGGGGTCTGTCCGAGCGGTGGGAAAAACGGGGGGGGGGGGGGGGGGGGGGGGGGGGGGGGGGGGGGGGGGGGGGGGGGGGGGGGGGGGGGGGGGGGGGGGGGTATTTTTAGTCAGTTGGGGGCCCGGGGGGTGGGGTAGAGGGTCATGTGCAGTAGGAGGGAGGGAGTATTTTTTTTCCTTCTTCGGAGGTTAAAGGGCCTCCAAATTCCAAACAAAAAAAGGTCCAATCCAGGCCGTCAGATCTTCAAGATCGACGGCCCAGATTGGGCTTTTTTTAATTAACAAAAAGAAAAGGCAGATTTTCAGTTCTTTTTCAATCAATCAATCAATCAATCACTCAATCAAGGAACCTATGAATCAATCCAATCGATTTGATTGATTGATTGATTGATTGATTGATTGATTGATTGATTGATTGACTGGTGGGGATTTAGTATGCGTCCGCTTCCTCCATCTTGCTCTCGGCCCACTTTTCTTCTGCCATTGCGCTCCGCTTCGGCCCCCATTACCAGCCTCCCGGTTGCGATTTCCTCGATTTCCGATCCCACCCACTCATTCCTCCAATCTCCTCCCTTCGAATGTTCATCCCCGCCTCGTTCCATGACGTACTTCAATAGTCTCCTCCCCCGTTACGGTTATCATCCCTCCCATTCCGCCCCCTCAAAGCTGATTCCCCTCGCGCACTTTATTATTCCAATCCCGTCGTCCCCCGCCATTGCCTCCATTGCCCACCTTTGCCTGCACTTTCCCTCACTGCGCCCCCCACAGCCCGACCCCCACTTAGATCGGAATTGCTTTGACACACTCTCTCTCCCCTCACGCACACAGACATAGACACACACCCACACACCCACACCCACACCCACACCCACACCCACCCACCCACCCACCCACACACACACACACACACACACACACAGAATCGATTGATTCGAATCCAATCAAGTTGAAGGGATCGAACCAATCGGATCGATTTTATTGAACAAATCGATTCAGTGGATCCAATCGATCCGGATCCATTCGAATCGATTGGATTCAAATCTATTGCATCGATTCAATCGATCCGTTCGATTGGATTGTGCATGCATGTGTGTGTGCTTGTGTGCGTGTGTGTGTGTGTGTGGTGTGTGTGTGTGTGTGTGTGTGTGTGTGAGAGAGAGAGAGAGAGAGAGAGAGAGAGAGAGAGTCTTGACGTTTGTGTGTGTGTAGACATTCCACCCACCCCCCATTGTGCTTGACACTTTTTTTTTTTTTTCTAACTCCAAATGAGCTGTTTTTTTTTAACAGCGTCTGCTAAAGGTGCGCAGACACCGCCAACCTTTTTTTTTTTTTACGCTATAAAATGATTGAAATCCCCAAAAAAGCTGTTGTCCGGGATCCCGGACAACTCCCCGCTGACCGTCTCCCGGAGACGTCTCGCTATCGGACTACTGGCAGCGTAGAAAAGAGCAGATTTAGGAGGTAATTGGAGCATAGAGAAGAGAGAGAATTATTGCATGAAGAGCACTGTGTAGTCCTCCGGTTCCCGTTAAGTCTCACACTCCCTCATCTGTTTCCTGCTCGGTTTCGTACTGTTAAAAGGTTGAGTGGCGAACAAACAAGATTGCCGTATCTGGACTAAAAGTGGCACCAAATACAGCTATAATGACCGGGTGTTCTATTCGGGTGAAGACAGTAGTCCATTTGTGGTTGCCAAGGCAAATGCAGATCAATGCATGAAGCCCATTGCACAAGACTAGAGAATGAAGCGGAAATAGGAAGAAGTTAAAGACTGGTAAAAACAGACAAGTATCAACCAACGATGAAGCACAAAACAAACTTGAAGTATTTCCCCAGCATTGCTCTTGGGAATGAACTCTCTGCAGCTCCTCCTATTCTCCCTCCTTGGTAGCACTACTGTGTCCAGCAAAATCATCATCACTCGAGTGTGATTGCCAGGCGGCAGCACAAAAGAGGTTTCCCTACTTCACCAAGCACTGCAGTGCTGACCGCCCTCGGTAAGTGTCGACTCAAGTGAACCCTAAAACGGTCATCTTGATGAAGCTCCACACTTTCTAGCCCCAGTCGACCATAGGCAAAGGGAAAGTGTTTACCATGGTACTTGTTTCCATCATGTTGCTGTAATACAGCCCCTATCTCATGCTAGCTGGTGTCCATGGTCAAGACAACGGCAGGGAAGGGTCTGCGATCTTCAACACCGGGTACTCGATCCGCATCTTCTTCAGTTTCTGAAAAGGTGATGTACAATCTTTGTGCGACTCCCACACTGCCTCCTCCTTTAACAGTCTACGCAGTGCGATTGAGCGGAAGTTGAGGACACACTTCCTTGTGTAATTAGCGTAATTAGCTAAACCTAGAAACGGTCACAGTTCGGTTAGACTCTCGGGCTTTAGCCAATCTTGAATTGCAGCTATCTTCTTATTCTCTGGCCACACTCCATCCATCGCCATCCGTCACGGGACCACGGTAAAGCACCTGTTGCTGGGCCCATTTGCACTTACTGAGGTTGACCGTAAACTTGTTCTCCTTTAACTTCTGCGGGAGTTTCTGCACATGTTCTACATGCTCTTCTTCTTTTTTTCTTTTCTTTTTCACTAATGACTTGCGAAAGACTTAGATGTCATCTAAGTAGGCTACGGAGGATCTATCAACCCACTCCCTAAACATGTCGTTCATGCAGTGCTGGAATGTAGCAGGGGCATTAGTCAGTCGGTCCAAAGGGCATCACTACGAGGTCACGAACTCAAAAGTGTCCGTACCTGGTCCCCAAAGCGGTCTTATGCTGATCTTCCTTAGCTACTTCTATCTGGTGATACCTGGACTTCAAGTCAATCTTAGAAAATTATTTGCATCCCTGCAGTCTGTCCGACAGACCATTGATTCTAGGTAATGGTTGTGCATTTTTTGCGGTTATCGCATTCCGGCCTTCATAGTCTATGCATAATCTCAGTTCCTTCTCCTTCTTGGCCATGAACAGAACTGGCGGACCGTACCAGGACGAGCTTGGCTTCATCCACCCTTTCGTAACTAACTCATCTAATTGTGTGCACAGTTCCTTCTAACTCAGCAGGAAACATCCTATAGATAGATCCCTTGGGCGTCTCGCATCTCGGCACGATCTCTATCCTATGCTTGATCTCTCTTTCTGTCACGCATGTAGTTCCCTCCCCTAACTCAGCATATTGCGCTTCCAACTTCTCTGATGCAGCCAAGGTAAGAGCAGCTGATACTACTACCGGCCGGTTCCTTTTGCTGGCTGTTTCCGCCACTCAGGACAGAAGGGATAGTGTGGTCATCCTTGCCACAGTTGGAACACCTGCCGTCCTCCCTGTTGTGCTGCCACTGGGACTGAGACAGGCCCATTTGCTTCTAGGGCTCTCCTTCTTCCTTCCCTGGATGCAATGGGAACCTTCACTGGCCCTACCTCCTTGGTGTTGGCAGTACCCTTTGCCGCCTCTGGGTCGAGAGTAATTGCCTCTTCCACCGATAAGGGGATCCTCTACTTTCCTTCCCCTGCGGGTGGGCCTCCCTTGCGGGCCACGGCAGCAGCATACTCCCCGGTGCCTACTTGTACCACTGTCATTGTCGTCCCCTATCTCTATCTCCTCGTAGGGAACAACCTCTCCACCTCCTCCGTCATAGGTAAGGAGCCAGCTGTGTTCTTTGCCCTTACCTGATCGGCGATGGTTTTCCCCTTTGAATTTCTTTCCTTGGGGAAAATCTTTGAACGTGGGGAATTTATTAGTCTTCTATAAGCCTCCATCTCCAGGGCCTTCTTTTAGAAGTCTTCCTATGTCGGTCCTGCCTGCCTAGCTTCTGCAACTTAGTTGTTTGTGATTGCATTGGGCAGGCAAGGGCGAAATGGGGATACGGTGAAGTATCTGGGAATTGACGATGCTGTGGTTGAAAACGAAAACTTGTTTGTAGTTGTCTACCTTAGCCTTCAGGTTAGCTACACTCTTCCAGTGACACTTTTCTATGTTTAGTATGATGTCAGAGGCTTTGAGCGCTTCACTCCTGTCTGTAAATCTTTACCTTTAGTGCCCTCATAAAGTCCTCAAGGCAGGTATGCTGGGAGTATGCTATTATATTGCTCTCATAGCCGGCTGCCTGTGCCTGTGAGCCGAGCGAGGTCAGTGCATCTCCCTCCATCGCCATACTAACGGCCACAAGCTTGTCCTCCTCCTCGATCCTCTGCTCGTAAAGATATCTCCTGGCTGCTGCCTCCGAACCTGTCAAATCCTCTTCTTCACCCATGATAGGCAAAGGGGAACTTCATGTTCATTCTGCTCTTGTATCCCTGCTGCCTATCTTCTCCTCCGCCAGATAGTACCTTCCCCTTTTCCTCCTCCATTGCCATTACCATCTCCATCTCCCCAATGTCCTCCACCACGTTGTTGTCTCTCTCCTTGCTGCGTTTCTTTGAGAACTCCACATGTGAGTCAACTATTCCCTTGGTTAGGCCGTCAAGCAGCTGCTTCATCTCCCCTCTTTGCTCCTCCAGCAGCTTGTGGAATTCTGCTGGCATGGCATCTATGCTGTCCGCATTATTTGAGAGCTATGGTGGCTATGCCCTAAGCCATCTTCTTCTGCAGCTGCTCCAGCTCATCCTTTCTTTTCTTAGCTGCCACAGTTTTTCCTCCGGATCATTAACCTGCTTGTTGACCCGGCTACCATCTTTGGCCATTCGCTCTTCTGCTCCCCCCTGCGGCTCAGGCCCATAAGCAGCGTGCATGAGGTGGCCAGCTCTGCCTTCAGTCTGTCTGCCATCTGCTTGGTCTCTTCATCTTCTGCCTCTCCTTTCTTCTCCAGGCAGCGGTTTCTTCTCCTTCTCCCTGCTGACTCCTTGCATCTCCGCCTTTCCCATCTCCTTTTTCACCGGCTCTTTCTTCACCTTGGCCGGTTCTCCCTTCGCTTCACACGTCTTCTCCTTTCCTCCTCCTCCTTTTCCTCCACCACCTCCTTTCTTTTTAGTTTCTTCCTCCTGCCTCACCTCGGCTCTCCACCTTATTTCTTCATATTCAGGGTCGGTTGGCTTAGACCTCTGCTCTCCACCTTATTTCCTCATATTCAGGGTCTGTTGGCTTATATACTACCCTGCTGTCCTTCCGGTTCTTTGAGTGCAAACGGCTCATGCAGATGAACCCAAGAGGGAAGAGAGAACGGAAGAGGGGTTGGAGAAGAATGGGAATGGTGATGCATGCATAAATGGGGTAGTCATCCATGGCTGTCATCGGTACAAGAGGCTGTCAAAATCTACCCCTTCCACTACCTCACCACTTAGACCTACCCACAACAAAACCTAGAACGCATCGACTCCAACAAAGATTGTGACTTTGCCCGGATTGTCATGACACTTACTACTGGGTTATGAAGACACCCGTATCCAGCCAACAGTCGGTTTAAGGACAGTAGCGGAATCCTCAGAAATTATTTAATATGGCAAACAGGCTACGTGGCTAGGCGGGGTCAACACTCCCCTGCAAGACTTAGACCAGTCAGCGCTCGTGCTAGTGTGGTTGGCTGCATACCGGTCAGTACCAGTCATTTTACATGCCCAGTTGGGCGATCTACATATAAACCGAGGATCCGCAATGTGATAAAAAGGACTGAATGGACAATGCAGTGCAAGTGGAATCTCAACAAGCAACGTGCATTCCGATACATAGAAAATGGTGCTTTATAGCGCAGGGAAGACTTTAGATACAAGCCCTGACCTGACCGGGACTGACTCCTATCACGTAGTGCAAGATAGCGGAGCAGAATGCTAGAATATCAATGACTAGCCCAATCACTGTTGCACGCAGACTAAACATACATCATTATCATCACAAGGTGTGAAGAGGCCTGGCGCTGTACACAGGAAGAAGGCGCCAGGCCCTGATGACGCACAGACGAAGAGGAGGGGGAGAGATGGGAATGTTGTCAACACCAAGTCTTTGTCACAAGTCCCAAATAATCCCTCGTCAAAATGTCTGAAGCCCAAATGTCGAGTCTGGATCCAATGTCACCACGCTCTTTCTTTCTCTCGTAGTCTGCTGATGCAGTGAAGTCAGATAGTGAGAGGGTGTGAGGGAGATGGTGGACTGAGAAGAGGAAGAAGAAGAACTCTCTCTCTCTCGTATGCCAGGTAGTAAACTGTGAAGATGGCGCTGTGCTGCAGGTACCTCGAAGACGAAGCTGGAGCAACGGCGCTGCCGGTAAGTATCCCTGGCCTCCGCCCAATCTCTCTCTCTAGTACTACTCTAACTATGGCGCCCAGCGCCGAAGACTACAACTAACGCTACTAGCGCCCAGTGCTGAAGACTACTGCTAACGCTACACTACTCCTGCAGCGCTCCTCCAGAGTGCTGCTGCCGAATCCTGAAGTCTACTGACTGCCTCCTCCCTGCCCGTGAAGTGCATGGGAAGTCCCTATGTACTACCTCGGCCTGCCTCCTGACTGCCTCCGACTGCCTGTAGTTGCAGGGCGGGCAGTCCAGGAGGCTGGTCTTGCCAATACCAAACTGAGCCAGGGTCTGGCGCTGCAGCTGTCGTGGGAACAGGCCAAAAATAGCCTGTTCCTAAAACCCTGGTTCGGTGCCTGAGTTTCAGGGCAGGTCGGTCTGATGAGAGACCGAAAATGGCCCTTCGTTTCAGGCTAAAAAGGCTACTGCCATTTTTAGTCTGAAACGACACAGGGTCTGTAGGCCTCTGTTTTGCAGGCTTTCGAGCTGAACAGACACGGGGCCTGTAGGCCCTGGTTTTCAGGCTTTCAGCCTGAGGGACGCAGGGCCTGGAAAATAGCCCTCGTGTGCAGGCGCAGCATGTAACATTGGGCTAGTCAGGTTGATTAACAAGTGCTCGCTTATGCCCATGCTGCTACTTTGCACGCTGAAGCCCTCAGCAGGCTGACTCTACCTATCTACAGCATGCATCACCGTAATGACTGACCTAAGACAGCAAAGGCAAGGCCTTCGTTCGGAAGAACTATGACAACCAGAAAGCAAAGTAGCGAAGGGAAAGACCAACAAACAAACATGCACAGTCAACAACATACAAGGCTAGGGTGAAGAGGTACTTCTCTGAGACAACTTGATGAAATAGCCCCAAGATCACACACCAGGTAAGTCTTTCTTCCTCTCCTGTTGTTGTACAAGAAGTGGTTACGGCTGCCAACTAAGCTCTCACAGGTATGGCCGCTGTCTCTCCCGGCCTTCTCTCTCTCTCTCTCTCTCTCACTTTCCAAGTCTCTGTGTCTCTGAGAGAGATATTGAGAGTTGAGACCTGGTGACTTCAGGCGATTGCCCAATCCCAGACTCGGAGATATTGAGAGTTGATGTCTCCCCTTCTTCTCCCCACCTCTTCTCTTCCTCCACCTCCTTCGTCTGTGAATGCATTGTAAGGGTGGCGGCTATCGTCCATGTGTGAGCTGCCATGCCCATTGTATGTGAGTGATGATGAATGCATGCAGTCTGTCCTGAGTCATGATGGGTCAGATTATGCCTTTCAGTCTTCCGCTGCATTGTTATTTCTCTTTCTCGTTCGGTCGGTTCTTGGGCTCTGCGCCATGCCTCTGTTGTTCATGCAACACCTGCTGTGTATTTTTTGGATAATATTTTCGGCTGTCTGTCCGATGCTTGTGGGTTGGGGTGGTTCTGGTGGTTCTGTTTTGTTTTTTTGGCTAGGCAAGGTGGGATCGTGGAAGGTATTCCCTCTTGGCTGGATTTGTCGAGCCCGGAGAAACGATGGAAATGGCAGTGCTACGAGAAGTAAAGGAGGAATCTGGTGTTGACGTGCAGCCTAACTCTGTGAGGTAGGTTTGCGTCCCCAAAGGATGTATTTGTTGGTTTCATAAGTCTTTTTGCGCACTCTATGATGTGTTTGGCAGTGCCAGGTGACACGTAGGTGGATTGAGGAGAAATGGGGATGGTTGTGTGCCTGTGCCTCTGAGTAAGGGGAAGGCTCCACTCTTTCTGTGACTGTTCTGACAATGCATGAACATGATCTTAACGATGGCCAAGTTCAGTCTTTCCATTCATGAGTGGAGCCAAATCCTTTTTTTTTTTTTTGGAACTTTCAAACAGAACCGTATGGTTCTGGCTCCTTTTCCATTCTGGGGAGCATCAGTCCGGTTCCTATTCCACCGGCAAGCCAAAAGAATTACATATAGGACTCGCACACGCTCTTCCCCCTTAAGGTAGGAAAGCCCGAGGGACGGCATTGATTACTTCTTGTTACAAGGAGCCAAAAGAATTACATACAGGACTCACACACGCTCTTCCCCCTTAAGGTAGGAAAGCCCGAGGGACGGCATTGATTACTTCTTGTTACAAAGCCCTCACCCCTGCCTAAGTTAGCCTGAATACCTATATTTTGAACCTAGGACATGGAAAGGAAATCAGTACTAAGGCCCCTGTAGACTTGTTTATGGGAGGTCACATCTAACTTGTTCCTCTCAGCTCTTCGGCTGTCGGATTCACTTTAAATACGAGAACTGTAGATGTGGTCCTAAAGAGGAGGACCTAGCTGGTGCTAAAATTGAAAACCTAGATGTTTTAGCTGAAAACCCTTCTTATGGTCTATATCCATTAACCCGAGTTATTCCTGTATTATCTGGATGGAAAATACTTTTTTGGGAGCTGTTTATGTGGTGGGGGCAGTACTGTTTAAAAGGATTGAGGAAGGACTGATGGGTGTTTGTAGGTCTAGGTTGAGGGGTTGGATGGTTGATGAGGTCGGGTGTGGGGATTCGTGGCTGGGGTGGGTGTGCGGGGTGATGGGGCTAGTAGTGTGTGAGAGGGGAGAGAAGGGTCTGGGGAGGTTTAAGGGGAGTTAGGGCTGTGGGGTTCCTTATATTGGGGATGGGGTCTGTGTGGGTTTAATTTTTAGCTTGCAGCCTGTTAGTACAAGCCTATGAAGGTTGTCGTAGGAGGCTAAGTTGTTGAGGGGGGAATGCTTGGTCTAGATAGGGGCGAGGGAAAGTCGATTGTGCTTGTTGTGTGCCTTTGGTATGGAAACGTGTGGTGTTTTAGCAGGAATTGATCCAGGTGCTCAAGGAATCCGGTGGGTTACACAATGGTCCTGAGTCTGAATTAGTGGTTTGTGTTGTATCATTCCACATTGTAAAGATTAGGCCCTGGCCTTTGACGGCTGCTATCTTGCCCTTGGCAAGGTAGTTATCCTCGTATTTGGTTTGGATTTCTTTGGCTTTAGGTGCATTTGCTTTCATTTTCCTCTTGGCTTTGCGCCAGTGGAGCCGGATCCTAATGTACATGTTTGGAGTCTTTGGAACGTGCAAAATATTTGGGTCGAGTTTTTGGGGGGCTGTGTATTCATCTCCAGCGATAAAATCTTATGACTGCCAGCTATGATTGTTTAGGGTGAAGTTTTTGGGATAAGAATTCTGTTCATAGTACTTCATACTTGTCATCTAAGCCATATCAGTGATGTGGAAACGCTTCACCTTGGCTTAAACTTTAAATTGATGTCTGATTCAGTCTGAAGTGTTTCCACATCTTTATTTTTTTTATCTAGAAGGGGGATAGCCCCTAAGAATTGCTGTATTCATCAGGATTGGAACACATGATCTGTTTGTCATTGGTTAAGATTGTGTACTGTTCAGCCATGAGGAAGATACATAACTGTCTGATCTTTGCTTGAGCAAACGTGTACAGTAATCAGGATGCTCCCCAATTTATCCATCTGTCAGCTCTTTCTGTGTGTCTCTTTTTTTTAACCCTTTCACCTCCTAAGTTCTTTTCAGTTTCATGCATCTGTGTGGACATGAAGCAACCGATTCTCGTGAAGAAACTTCTTGCGTATCTGTCTTTCTTCATTTGAAATTTGAATGTGATTGCTCATTCTTTTCAACAAATTCAATTCCATTTGCATGTTTTGATGTAATTGCCGTTGGCCGTTTCGGTGTGTAATTAGGTATGCAGCAAGCCAACCGTGGCCGTTTCCATCCTCCCTCATGGTTGGGTTTATTTCAGAAGTGAATCCAGGGCCCCTCCTTAATGCTGTACCTGTCAGCGAACGACCAAGCAGTATTATTGGCTATGGGGACCCTGAGCACGAGCGCATTGTGAGAGAGCAGGACTGTCTACCTGCAGTTAATGCTGACTTAACAGAGCTAGAGGTATGGGCTTCGGCGTTTATCCTGCTTTTGTACTCTGCTATGATACTTGTGCTTTCTCATCTTCAGTCCTGAGTCGCTACTGTTGCTTCTCTCCTTGTCAGTGTTATGCAGATAAGTGTGTAGCCGTGCCTACGGAAGGTCTCATCCTTGCAGACTTCACTGAGTGAGTGAATGAGTGAGTGAGTGAGTGAAGCACTGGAGCTGTGCAGTGGTGAGGTGATCACGTCTGGTATCACTCAACTTCAGAACACTGCATGCAGTTGCGGTGGTTACAAATACTAGTTCGAACTATGGTTCAAATAGTTATGGGTGGCATCCTGCGAAAGTACTCATCAGTACTGTGTGCAGTAACAGTCCACAAGATTAAGATTGTACTTGAGAGGATTGCAGTTGTCGCGTCTACAGAGTGTCATGCGCACAGAGTATGGTTGTGCCTATGGATGGTCTCATAGGTGTTAATTTCTAAGTGTGTTGACACTGTTGAGCGAAGGAGTGTATGAGTGGCCGCCTCTACTGAAACTGTGCAGGGGTGGTGTGTGGATTGTGATACTGTCATGGTTCTACTCGGAACACCGCGTCACACGTGGGCTGTTATGTCTGAGAACACTGGTCCGATTGGGTACGGTGTAGTGGAGGGATCACGGCTACATGCTGATTGGTGTGTCATTATTAAGTTAAAGTTATATACCAAACCTATGTTGTTGCCATCAGCACTTTGTTGCTGTCTTTGTCATGTGTAAGTGCTACCGTTTTTTACGCCCGGTAATTATCGCCGTATCTGGGCTGAAAGCTGTGCCAAATCCAGCTATAATGACCGGGCGTTCTATTCGGGTGAAGACGGTAGTTCTCGTCCATCTGTTCTTATTTGTTTGTTCTGATCAATGTATTCATATTGGTTTGCTCTTCTCCTGTCTGTTGGACAGCCGCTGTAGACCAGAACCTTTGGTTCTGCTGATTGTCGTGTTTTTAGTACTTTTTACTCTCGACTTCTTTTCGAACGACTATTTGGACATGTTATTGATTTCTGCATGCCTTTGATCTTCTTGTATTGTTCCAATTGGTGGTGAGGATTGCGGAATGGACGGGGACTAGCTCTTCGTCTTTTACCTCCTGTGCGAGTCCATCACTCTTGACCTCTATCGATGTGAGAATGTGTGGTAGTACGGTACGTCTTACACTCTTTATGTTCTCAGCACTCAACGATGATGCCATCCACACTCGAACCATGCGGGTTTCTCTATCAGTATTTTAGTCGTTTATGTCAGTATGGGGCCTATGTGCCTTCTTTTTCTTTTTTTTTAGTTGTGGCCCGATGGACCACATGGCAGATATTAAGTTATTAACTGATCAGAACATATACTACACTTGATCTATAAGCCAAAAGGTCGGCCTATGGGCTTAATAATCACAGCATGTCAAAATTTCATTTCCACAGTGTCATTCAGGGGGTACTGTTGAAAATCTTCTCTGGAATTCCACACTATTTATTCCATTGATGTTATTCATTCTGCACTTTCCACACTTTGCTTAAACCACGAGTAAACCTGGGCATGGCGGCGCCGCACTGTGCGCCATGCTTTGCCGAATCATCATTGCCGGGCTTTTATTCTTTTTTGGCTGGTGCCGCCAACCGCTGTCGTCCGGTGGCCCTGATGTCCTGACTAAGGTTTACTTTTACTCGGGGGAGAAGAATCGCTGCACCAAACGATGACCTGGACTGTTGCACCAAGCAACGGTCCTCCCTGCTCCTTGAGCCAAGTCGTAGGCTTTTCCTTCACTACGAGAATTGTGCGAGGCACAAGGCCTCAATAAGCCCCACTGGGCCCTGTTATCAGCAAGGTAGGCCGCCGTAAGTGAAGGCAGGCCCGGCCGAGGCCTATTTTGGACTACTACGCAACTGGGGGAAATTCAGGCAGTTGCGCAGCGCCAGTTGGTTGGAAGCGCCTAGTCCCAGGCTGCCTTTCCTTGTATGTAACTGAGGCAGACCCTGGGCTGGATACACAACATGGACCGAACGAAGGCTGAGGGCAGTTGGGCGCTGGTAACCACCACAGGCCCTGGGCCTGTTTCCTTTGGACTGAGGCTCAGCCTCGTGGGGCCTACCAGAAGCTTCTGGGCCGGGGCCCAGTACCGCATTACCGCACGCAGCAGCCTGCCACTTCGGTATAGGGAAGGGCCTGCCCACACATTGGACATTCGGGCAATGGCTGCATGCGGCGCAAGCGCTGCTGCGCTGATGCTGGCCAAGGAGCAGGCAGCCACAGCCGAGCTGTGCTGCTGTATGCTGGATGGGGCGCATGGTGGTTCTTGGGTGCATGTGGCATCTGTGAGTTGGGGAATGAGGTTGTGAGTGATACAAGAGACATACCTGGTTCTTGAAGTGAACGGCATTGGCCGAGATCTGCTCATACTTCGGGGAGCTGTTGACGTCACCAGCGGCATTGTAGATAGGCAAGATAGGATCTGCCATTTGTAGTCTGGGCGCCAAGCGCCAGATAGGATGTCGACATTGGTTCTTTGTTGATGTAGTCTCAAACATTGTCACTTATGAGCTTTTGCTGTGCTATTATTTGGTGGGACTCGTGATGCAATGCTGCTTTTGGTTCGAGGTCACGACTATCTGGTCTCATGTGTATGATGCTGCTTGGTTTCTGAAGTTCGCTATCGCTCATTTTCCTTGCAATTGTTGCGCCGTGCAACGATTACCTATCCCTTCGATCTAATCCGATAGCTCAACGGAGATGTGCCTTTTTCAGTGAAGAAGACTTGCTGTACCAAACGATGACCACGACGGCTGCCCCAAGCAAAGGTCGAGTAGGCCATGACGAAGTCTTGGAAAGCCGAGAACTTGTACTGGCAGTTCACAGCTCTCAGAGATCATCCCCCGTGTGAGGGTGGAATGGCATCATGTAGCTGATCCCCATCCGTCCCATGTAGCTACTCACCATCCATCGCACAATCCTCTCCACCAACTGATGCAGAGTTTGAACCCCAAGGAGTCCAAATAGTCTTTCTTGACAGTTCACAGCTTACATGACAGTGAAAAATGAGCTGCTTGATCATAGATGGAAAGTGCGCGGATGCGGAAAGTGGATGTGAAGCACATGACTATCTAGTAAAGTTTGAAAAAAGTCGTGACGAATGCACATGGACAGAAAGTGCAAGTAGAGGACATGCAATGTATGGAGAACACCGCGTGACTGAAAGCTGATTGGAACTGCCTAAAATGTTTTCAATGTGAATGAATGGAAGCAGGATGTCCGTTGGATTCACCGAGATTTCCTTCATCAGGCAGTCTCTTCTGGAGCAAGCTGGCCATGGCTTTCAGCTTCCGAATTCCATGTGCCTGGGAAGTTTGCACTGGCTCGTGTCATCATGGAGAAATGGCTTTCTGAGAGATCCAATGAAGAAGCCTGGGCTGGTTGCCACGTCCCTTGTGTTGAAATAGACCAAGGTAAAACTGTACTCATGGATAGATCACCTGTCAAGTTTCATGGATGTTCTTCTTCTTCTTTTTTTTTTTCAGTAATTTGGACGATTTCTCGATTCATGCGTGTGTGTCATCCTTGCCGCAGGCGCCATGCTTTTATCTTCTCTGTATCGTTCCCAATTTTAGCCGATGTCCCAAAGGACCGTCAAGTTCCAGGTTGAAATGCGATGTGACAATTTTGAATTTTCAACTTTGTCCCTCTTTTTTTTTTTTTTGCCCCTCGTCACAGACAGGCACTTGGTATCTTACATCAATCTGGTTCATAGTTGCGGTGCACAAGTGCGCAGTGCGGGGCGGGGCGGTGCACACTGCGCTGTGCGCTTGAATGACAGCGCGCGCACTGTGCGCCGTGCGCTGTCCGCAGTGCGGTCCGCTGTGCGAGGTGCGCGCGCTGAGGGAGGTGCGCTATGTGCACGAAAAAAAAAAAAGAAAAAAAAGAAAAAAAGAAAAAAAAGAAAAGAAAAGAAAAGAAAAGAAAAGAGGACAGGGCCGAGAGAGAAAGAGAGAGAAATTGAGATAGATAGATAGATAGATAGATAGAGAGAGAGAGAGAGAGAGAGAGAGAGAGAGAGAGAGAGACAAAAAAGGATCCCCTTTATGTCAATTCGAGGGCCCCTGCAGGTACCACGAATGGCTCCTACAACGCATGGGGAGCTGTTGAGGGCCGCTGCTTCACTGAGAAGGATGGCCTCGTCATGCACGAAAGCCATGGGGCCAGACCACCAAGGATTCGAGTTCAGGGCTGTAGCCCGGCAGTTATGGGTCACCAGTTCAGCTTGACCCTGTTCGTGTCTCCAGGTGATTCTCAGGGTCTCCCTCCACCACTCACCAAATGTATATAATATTAGTAGAATGAATCTTCTGCTAAAACATGGAACCATACACCGCCATATGCTGTCTTTTGTGCATTTGGTGAGTAGTGGAGCAGGCCCCACTGGACGTATTCGTAAGATAACAAAAACAAGAAAACGAGAGAGCCACGGGCGTCTTCATCCTAACCCATAACTGCCGACATGCAGACCTGAACGCCAATCTTCCGCATATATTGGTGGCCGGCTGGCCATGAAAACGTAACTTGTGATGTCTGCGAAGATTCGCGGGGCAGGTCGTTATCAGGCGACTGGCCCTTTTTGCGAACTTACCCCACCGCTGTGTGGGATTTGCAGAAGGGAGCGGGAATAACATCTTTCATACCCCGCCTAAAAATGAAGATGGAATGAGCCCTGTTTTTAAAAGTATTTTATGCTTCGCCGTTCTGAAACTTTTGGGGGAAGGGCCTGCGGAAATTGAAATTTGGCAGCGCTTACCCAAAAGGAAAATTTCGAGCTTGGGGCACGGCCGGTTTCTGAGCTCACGCGGAGAGTTTAATATTTTTGCCGAGTTGGGGGCCCTAAGAAATTACAAAACACCTACTCTCTTTTTTTTTTCGTGGACCTAATTTTTCCAGTGCGCTGCGGGCGGTGCGCAATTCGTGCGCAAATCCGCGCACCGAGGTGCGCCGCAGCTATGATCTGGTTCCATCATCTGGGTTCGAACTTCGAACTCGGGTCTGTATTTCAGCAGTTCATGGGTGTACCCACTGAAGCTAGGCTCTTCTTGGGTAGCTGCTTTGATTTCGGATCTACTCATTTGGGTGGAACAGGGGCTGCGGCAGTGAACAATCCACAACATAGAGTGCATGCAGCTGTCAGGTAGAAAAGCCAATAATGTGGTGGGCGTATATACAGTCGGCAGTTGATCCTATGAAACTGGGATATAAAAGGTCTCTTCAAACGAAGGACCCGGAACCCACCATACCGAAACGAAGATGGGAATGAGACCTGGGAGACGCAATCAGCAATGGCAATAAAGGATCAGAAGTTCAAAATCCTTATCCAAATTAGAGATCTATGCATCTGGGTAAAAAAGGGATTGCTGTGATGATCTTTTTAAAACACACACAAAGACGTAGCGATATTTGCATCTTGTTGCGTGTGGTGATGGGAAGACCAGGAAAAGGGTTCCCTTGTGGACTGGACCGGGTCATTCAAGGGCCCAGAAGCTCTCGGTTCTGAGATCACAGAACACCCCTCCTCCCCCCCCCCCCCCCTTCCGCGCTGAGGATGGTCAGTAATCTTGTCTCGTCTGCTTTCGGTGGATGATAAGCCTGTGCCAAATGCTTTTTTTTTTTTTTTTTTTTTTTGCGAAATGTGTTCTTTGTGTTTGCCAATAAATTCACTGAATTCAATTTAATAAAATTTAATTGTGATTTGTTCACTTCTTTGTGCAATTGAAGGCAACAGTCCTATCTGGTTTAGTGATCATGCGAGCTAAGGGGCCTCGCTCCACTACGCAGGATACGGAATGTATCCCTAACTGTGTTAGAGGTCCGAAACATTCAAAATGTTCCATTGGCCCAAATGCATCTGGTCTAGGTGCCAGTTCCGATATCTGTCAAACGTTGAGTAGTGGAATGAGCCGCTTTGTTGATCTAATGGGCCTCGCCTCGCTCCATTATGCAGCATATGGAATGTATCACTACCTGTGTTAGAGGTCCAATACATTCGAAATGTTCCAAATCTGTCCAAATGCATCTGGTCTAGGCGCCAGTACAGATACCTGTCAACCGTTGACTAGTGGCACGAGCCCCTTTGTCCATGCATGTTGTTATTGTTTTTTTAAATGTTTTGCTAGGGAGATATCCCGGGCTCCTGGGTACTGACATCATGCCCGGTTTGACGACTGGGAGACCGGCTGGGCATGACCCCCGGGCATGGCCCCGGGCAGCCCCAGCGGAAAAAAAAAAAAAAAAAAAAGAAAACCAAAAAAAATCTAAAAACAATATGTTGTGTGGAATTGCAATACAAACAACTTTTGGCTGAGGGTCACATCAGAATTCCTCACGGAACTGAAGATAAAAAACATATAACCAAATCACACTGAGGCACCCCCCCTTTAAACTCCTTTAGCCCCTTTTAAATTCATTTATACTCCCCTTACCCCCCTTGACTCAACTCTCAAAAAAAGAAAAGAGCCCGGATTTGGGCTCCGCTCGGAGACGGAAAAAGCCCACCCCCAATTTTTTATTTTTATTTTTTTCCCCATGCCCGATTATCCCGGGCGTCAGACTCCCCTGGGCATCACGTCTGGGTGACCGGCCGGTCGTGAAAATCTTCCTAGATGTTTTGTTTTTTTTTGACATTTTCTCGTCCATGCGTTTTAACAGGTGTTTTCAAGTATGTGTTACTCAGAGTTTCAAATGAACAAGGCCAAGAGAAACTGGTAGGTACATTTTTCTCCCTCTGCTTCAATCGTAAGCTAGGGCGAACCTGACCTGGAAAACTGTATCCTAATGCACCACAAGATGATGGCTGTTGAACCATATGTTTTTTTTTTTCTTTTTTTTTTCTTCTTTTTCCACCAAAAAATAAATTTATTACTTGCACCTGAAATCAGGTCCAGCGTTCTTACGTGAGTGTAGTCACTCCAGGCATCCCTTGGATATGGCCGAGGGACACTGCGAGGCTGAGACAACAACGTTGATTACATGCTAGTGGGGGATGGATGTGCCACACTGCTCCACCCCTGCTTGTAAGTCCTGAAGCTCTTGCCTGCTGCTTGCTGCCGTCCTCTAACAGGGGTCTGTTTGGGGTCTGGTAGCTTGAAGCAATTTCGATGCGACTCTCAGGCAAAAGTGGTCCAGTTTATTTTGCTGCAACACGTATTTTTTCGTTTTCCAGATCTTCTTTTTTTTTTTTTTTTTTTTTTTTTTTGCTGGGACCTTCCCTGGACCTTGTGTGGCATACCGTGCATCCACACGGGCCTGCAGGGCCCGACCAGACGGAAAATAAGGGCCCTACAGGCCCTTTGTCGTTTCAGCCTAAAAGCCTGAAAACGAGGGCCTACAGGCCCTTTGTCGTTTCAGCCTAAAAGCCTGAAAACGAGGGCCTACAGGCCCTGTGTCGTTTCAGCCTAAAAGCCTGAAAACGAGGGCCATTTTCAGGCCTTCATAAAGTCGACCTGCCCTGAAACTTAGGCACCAGACCAGGGYTTTAGCACAGGCCATTTTGGGCCTGTTTTCAAGACAACCTTTGTTTGAACTTCAACGCCAGGGTCTGGCACGTTTTGGCATTGGCAAGAGCAGCCTCCTGGACGGGCCAGCACTATATAAGACTGGCCCACCCTACAGGCTGCAGGTAGTGGACAAGGTAGTTCATAGGGACTTCCCAGGCACTTCACGTGCAGGAGGGATTCGGCAGCAGCACTCTGGAGGAGCGCTGCAGTAGTAGTAGTAGCGTTAGCAGTAGTCTTCAGCGCTGGGCGCTATTAGGAGCTAGAGTAGCGGGCTAGAGTAGCGTTGGAGAGAGAGAGATGGTTGGCGGAGGCCAGGGAGACTTACCTGTGGCGCCATAGCTCCAGCTTCGTCTTCGATGCACCTGCAACAAGGCGCCACCTTCACAGGTTAGTACCGGAGAGAGAGAGAGAGAGANGGAGAGAGAGAGAGAGAGAGAGAGAGAGAGAGAGAGAGAGAGAGAGAGAGAGAGAGAGAGAGAGAGAGAGAGAGTTCTTCTTCTTCCTCTTCGAAGTCCACCACCTCTCCCTCACCCTCTCACCACCTAAGTGCTCAGTATCTGCAGCCTAAGAGAGAGAGAGAGAGAGAGAGAGAGAGAGAGAGAGAGAGAGAGAGAGAGAGAGAGAGAGAAAGATTCTTGACTTTGGGACTCGACGACATTTGGATCCAGACTCGACATTGGGATTGAGACATTGGACGAGGGATTATTTGGGAGCTGTACCGAAGACTTGGTGTTGACGACATTCCCATCTTCCCCTCTTCATCGTCTAACCCCCCTCTTCTCCGTCTGTGTATGGCTGGGGACTGGTGCACTCTTCCTGTGTGAGTGCCAGCCCCTTTCACATCATGGAATGATGATGATGTATGTTTGGTCTGCATTGCGACAGTGATTGGTCTGTTCATTGGTATATTAGCCTTCAGCTGCGCTATCTTGTACTATGTGAGAGAGGTTGGTTCTTGTTCTGGTCTGCACTTTTACGGTATGCGACACCTTGCCAGGCTGGGCTGTCCGAGCAACCAAGGTGTGACCTGGCTCGGCCCGGTTGGTAGCCCAGAGAGAGACTCAATAAGGAGGGGTAAACTCACATTTATTCGAACAACAAACTGAAGCCTCTGCTTGCTGAGTCCTCCTTTCATTGCCCCGGTCTAGGTGAAGACCTTCACAATCTGTATATATCATCTCTAGTTCCACTGAAGCAATGGAAGGAGGAGGACTCAGTCCTTCTCCTTTCATTGCTCACATGATCTCTCTGTGTGCTCATATCTTGTGGACATTGCTGGTGTGACCTGAACCCCGAGTGCGGTGCACATAAAGCTTGACGTAATAAAGGCGAGAAATCAAGGTCTTCTTTTTTCAGCAAAGGCGGAACCTTTGCTTTTGTTTTTGTTTTTTGGTACCTTTAGTCCTATTAGCAGGGCCCAGTGCCCAAGGCCATATACAAGAACACCAACAGGGGTCAGTCGGGTTGTCCTACTCCACCCTCAGCGCGCCCCCCCCGGCCCCTCCCCCCCCCCCCCCCCCCCCCCCCCCCCCCCCCCCCCCCCGCCAAAGAGGTTACATACCCCCAAGGCTGAGACTCAAGGGGCCCCACCCAAAACCTCCACTACTCTACTACTCCCGCAAAAAGCCCCCCCCCCAAAAAAAAGTCAACTAATGCTCGATCCACTCGCACCAGACCTGCGCGCACTGCCCAATGCTGCAAAAAAACATTCCAATCCTCGTTTAACCGGGCTGACCCTGTGGGCCTGCGCATCTTCCTAGACCAGTCTACCTCCATGACCAGCCTATAAGCCTACGAGCCTGCTTGACCTGGGCTTGTAAGTGCTGCAAAAACACAAGCTCACCTCGCCTGACCAAGCCCTTCCTCGCTTTCCAGATTGTCCACAATATCGCTCCCCCGATCGCCTCAAACAGGAATCGACAAAGGTGGAACCTTTCCAATGGCTTAAACAACCAGTACATGCCAGCTATCAGCCGTGGCCCCTTTTCGGACTCCGCCCGCCGCCGATTCATTTTATCTACAGTGCTTAGTCTCCTAAATTTTCGGAGAGACTCAAAACAGGTTCTCCAGTTGCCTGGGGCCATTTACAACATGTTCTCAGTTGAACTTCGAAGTTTTGGCACGACAGCTACGCCGCCGATTCATTTTATCTACTGCGCTCAGCCTCCTAGATTTTCGGAGAGACTCAAAACAGGTTCTCGAGTTGCCTGGGGCCATGTACAACATGTTCTCCAGTTGAACTTTGAAGTTTTGGCAGGACAGCTTCGCTGACCCCAAGACGAGAGTGTAGGCAGTCGGGGGTGCAGGGTCCTGGTTCCGGAATGATTCCAGCTGTCACCCTTGTGCAGGGGCGATGCTGATCTTCTATGTACCGGGCTAATTTTAATGGATGTCCAGGAGGACAAAAAAAACGAAGAAACAAATTGCAAGTGCTCCACTCTCTGAATTGTTTTTTAATTTCGTTTTTTGAGAAACTTTAAAAAATCTGAAAAATAAACCAAGTTGTTGTGTAGCATTGCAATACGAACAACTTTGCAGGAGGAAATAAATCATCATGAAAATAAATTATCACAGGGCTGGGCCGGCAACCGGCCGGTCGAGCTGGCCCGGTCCAACTGGGGCCGGACCGGGCCAGCGGGGGTCAATCAGCAAACCAGATGGCCCAAAAAAAATGCCCTTTGGATCCGACTGCGTTTGCCGAGATCTGTCGGATTCCGCAATAAAACTTTGAATGTTGGAATTT